TGGGGTCTTCATAGGGGCCTTGGGATCCCCCATCCAGGCCCATCCCCCTATTCTGCTTGTGCATAAAGCTCTCCCGAGAGCACAGAAGGGCCCCCGGGGAGCCCTGGTATGAGAGTGGACCTTTCCTGAAGCTGTGTGGCTCAGTCCATCCTTATGCCTCCCGACCCGGTCTGCTCCCCCAGACCGGGCTGTCCCAGCCAGCATGGCAGAGCAAGAGGCAGAAATGCCCGTCATCCTCCAGTCCAGAGGCAGTCACAGGCCCTGCATGTGTCCGCCGGAGGAGGCTCGGAGGAGCCGCTTCTGTGCAGCCCAGTGTCCAGCAGGGCAGCGGACCCTCTGCGGCTCACCGCCCTGCGCCACCACCCCGACCAGGCCACACAGACTTCACTCTGCAGGGCGACTGTTGCAGGTTTGGGTGTCCCCACTCGATGAGGTAGTGTCCGTGCCCCCTGGCAAGCCCAGCATGGCTTGGGCACAACTACATGTACCCCACTCCAGGGCTGCCCCCCCACACCCACATCTTCCACACTGTGCCCCCCAGGAGCTGACATGATGGGTAACGTGGGCGCCTGGCCCTGTCTAGACTTCCAGACCTTGGTCACGGTAACAGGGTGTCTGGGATTGTCCCCTCCTCAGGGCAAGGCTGCAGCCACTCTGAGCCCACAGTCGTCTCGTCGATAGACATGTAACGAGCCCTTCTGCGCGCAGGTGCTTGGGCCGGGTATGGGGAAGCCACGGCGGCAAGGCCCCGCCTCAAGGGGCTCCCGCTTAACAGAGGAGCCTGGCAACGACCAGTGGACGCATACGGAGGCGGGGCAAAGTGGGGTGACGAGAAAACCAGGGCAGTGCCCCAGGGGCTCTTTAGGCAGCAGTTGGTGTGCTGGGGAGGGGCCAAAGGACTCGGTGCAGGAATGGCTGGGGGTGAGAGAGAGGAGAGACCTCCCCTTCCCGTCACCATCACCCTCCCTCCCAGCGTCCCCGCCTCTTCCTCCAGCAGGCCCTGGGCCTCCAGCAGGAGCCTCCACAGGCCTGTCTCACTCTCAGAATCCGAGCCTCCCTCTACCTGGGTGGCGTCGCCCACCTTGCCTACCTGGTACACACCCCCCTTCCCTTGACTCTTGGGAGCCTCCTGCCCTGCCCACTCCTGAAACTAGAAATTTCGCCTGCCACAGAGTGAAGACGGTCCCTGTGAGGCAGGAGCGCACGTGGCCGATGGGATATTCAGTGTCTCCCTTGCTTCCCTTTGTTTTGCAACAGAAAGTGTTCCTTTGATGGACATTTAATTCCAGAGGCTGCTACCTGCTTCCTATCTCTCTTTACTCAAAAATTAAATGCGGATGTGCCTGTGCTCCTGCAATAATCATCTCCTCGGCCTGGAGCGAGAGTGGCTGGGATGGGAGCACATTCGAATCTTCAAAGAGGGACAATTATTGAGGGAACTAGATTAATGAGGTGTCATAACAACTTAGCCAGATCTGCGGCTGACCTTTCTCATGGAGAGCAGGCTTGATAAATGTAGTTCATTACCAAGTTCTGACATGAAAATAGGATCCCACTCTGGGCTCCTCAGCAGGCTGATCAATATTTTATCTGCCAAAGCAGGCCTGGCCCGGCAGCAGGAGCCCCCCCACACTCCTGCTGGCAGGAAGCCCAAGGCCAGCGCCAGGGTGGCCAGGCAGCCCTGCCATGTGGAGGGCACCCAGGCCAGCAGGAAGGTGGCTGGGACCTTCCAAAGGCCTGTCGGGGATGCTTGTCAGTGTCAGGCTGACCAGGACATGAGCCCCATGGGGCAATGTTCATGAGTGGTGGGAAGGCAGGGAGGAAATTTTCTGTTTTTCCACAAACACCAATACAATGGCCACCTGTGCCAGGTGCTGGGCCCTGGTGACTGGGACAAAGACACGTGAGTCATGCTCCAGCTCCTTGGTGCTCTCTTCGTCAAGAGAAGCCCTCAGGCCTGGCTGACCACTTGGACTTGGCAAAGTCCTCTTACATTTCTTAGCACACTATTCTCAACCGCTGTGCCACAACGGGTGCACGAGTGTGCCGCAACGGGTGCGCGGGTGTGCTGCAACGGGTGCGCGGGTGTGCCGCAACGGGTGCGCGGGTGTGCCGCAACGGGTGCGTGGGTGTTCTGCAAGAATGTTCAAAGCACAAAGCACCTGACTGTTCAGTCAGGGGCACTGCCCTCCCTTAGATTGTCAAATAAAACAGAAAAAAAAAAAACAATAGCCAACACGATAGCTGTCCAGTGTGAATAAATCATAAATATACCTATTTTTTTGTCAGATTGGCAAAAATTATATTTTCTGGTGTGCAGCAGAATTGTGGTGATCAGCGTGTGTGCCATGGTGGAAAGGTTGGAAATCGCAGTGTTCACATCCTGTGGGGCGGTAAGGGCTGTCTGCCCCGGCCTAAGGTGGGACATGGAGGCGGGGGAGCACGAGCCCTGCTGCCCGGCATGCCGTTCCTGTGCCTCCTGCTCCCCCACATCCTCACCCTGCCGGTCTCACCCCGCACACCCCTCCTCATCAGAGCCCCCTCCATGGGCACCCTGGAAGCTCAAGACCGGAAGCCCCGTCTCCTCAGTGTGCTGCCCCATCTGACACAGCCTGTAAGTTAGTGCCGGATGGAGGAGCAGGACCAGTGTGAGCTCTAGGGGGCAGGACCAAGGCCGCAGGGGGCTGACTCTGGAGACGGGGTGCCACTCTGTCTCCCGGGCTGGTGTCTAGACATGGGCATATCTTCCTGGCCAGGAGGCCTGTGCTGGGCTGTGGCCATGGTGGAGAAGCCAGAAGCATGTGAATTCACAGGGAACTGCAGGAAGTGACAGAAGAGGTGGGGCCTGGGGCATCGCTGAAGTCCCTGGACAGGACCCCTAACCTGCTGGCGTGGGGGATGCTGCTTAGCTGTAGACCCCTGGCCCGGGCCGCAGGCAGCTCGAGCAGCTCTGTGCTCCACCAGAGTCTGTGAGGAAGGTTAGAGGGTCGTGGAGGACCAGCGAGAATGAGACCTCTCTGTCCGTCGGGCCTGTCTTGGCTCGTCCTTCAGGTGGACCACTGTGGTGTGTTCTTAGGAGTCTGATCGTCACCTAGCATTTCTGAGTCAAGCCCCCAGTCGACCCCATGCCCCTCTTCTGTGTACAGCAGCCTGGCAGCATCCGGGCATGAATGCTTGCCCCCAGGAGAGCCCGAGGGCCCCTCCGCACAGACTCCCGCGCACCTGCACCAAGGCTTCTGACGCGGCCCCTGCACTGCGTCCTGACGCCTGGTTCATCTGCCAGAACTGGATTCACCCTGTGGAGGGCAAGGACGCAAGATTTGAACAAAACCAGTCCTCTCCTTTGCCAAAACTGACCCTTCTCCAGACCTGGGGAGAAGAAAATCCCAGCGGGCTGCCACGTCCCGTCCGGGCGGGAGTGGTTTTGTGCCGGGGCAAGGCCACTCTTCAACCCGCACAGCCACACAGACGGGAGGACGGGAGGACGGCTTTGCGGGCTGGTGGCCCCAAGCACTCCCAGGCCAAGGAGGGTGCCAGCACTGTAGGGGTGGGAAAGTCCTGACTGTCAGCCGGGAGCGCCCAGAGAACAAACAGATTTGATTATATTGAACACAGCAATTGATTTTTTTTCTAAATAAGCACGTAGGAGGAAATGGTAACAGGCCTCTGTTTCTGACAAGAATCAATTGACGTCAAATTGGAAGAAAATCTAGAAACACAAACAAGCGCGAGAGAAGTTGGTTGGGCCATCCAGGCTGGTCCCGAGAAGGAGGGAGGGAGAGAGAAACAGAGGTCCCTGTCCACACTTCCCCCACTACAGAGCGTCCTTGTTCCTTGCCCTTCTGAAAGAGGTCCTGACAAGAAGAGACAGCTATCGTTGTGTGACCTCACTGTGCCGAGCCGTGCAAATCCCCTTATGTGCCTGTCTTATTTAATCCTCATTAGAGCCCTGTGTGGGAGGCCGTGTTCCCTCACTTCCCAGATGACATCATGGAGGCACCTGGCCCAAGGTGCACATTCAGGCAGTGGACTCGAGTGGGTGCTCCCAGCACTGCTTCACAGTGACTCTCCCCACCTGAGCTATTACCTGGTGCCCTAAACTGGCCTTGGAATGAAAGGGAAGAGCTCCAGGCCCCAGATAGTCCATTCCCAGGAGCACATTGGCTGGAGTGGACGGTGAGGATTCCACCAGGACTCAGCAAAACCAGACGCAGGAAGCCCTCCACCCCCAGGGAGGCGAGGAAGTGGGCCTGGAGGGCCTCTCCTGGTCTACAGACACCCGGCAGCCTCAGTTTACAGGCTGTGCCTCATATGGTGTTTCTCCTGGTGGCTGCGTGCACCCCGGGCCTCATGTGCCAGATTGCCAGGCGGTCCTGATGCTGAGCAGCACGCACGCCCATGATCAAGGCCTAGTAATGGGCCGTGTGCTCCGGTGTTAATTTTGTAAAGCTTCCTTTTGTTTCTCGGTCGTAGACTTACATACACATGTTTGTTTTGAAGTAATCCAGCTCTGGGAGTGTACCTAATTAACTTAAGCAGGGCTTATGAGTCCTATTAAGTAAAACTGCCGAATCTGTGAAGCCAAGTATTCAAAAGCAGCCTTTAAGGTGGGATTAAGGCAAAGACGAGCTATTACAAAATGAAACTGGGGCCAGCTTCGCGGAAGCCACTGTGGGCTAGCGCTGTGAATCCCCCAGAAAGACTCCCCTATTCCATCTGGCAATGGCTCTGTGTCTGGCACGTAGTAGATGCTCAATGAATCTCTGTGGGATGGACAAGCAGGCTCCATCCAGCATCTGCCTCACGTGTAGCACGTATTCAAGTGCTGGGTGAATATTTATGTGATGGATTGGTGGGCAGAGAGACAAGCAGATCCCAACCACTCCAGTGGCACCCACATGCACAGACAAATGCCCAGGAACTTGACGAGTGAACGGATGAACGTCCTCGCGACACTCAAGGGAGGAGTCTCACTGTCATAACCTCATCTTCTCTTCCAGGGGACCCGTGCACCATGGCCGACTACGCCCGCCTGAAGAACGTCCTCCTGGCCCTTCAGACCCACCTGCAGCCACTCCAAGAAGGAAGCAGCAGACAAGACCCTGCCTCTCAGAAGCGCCTCCTAGTGGAATCTCTGTTTAAAGGCTTGGATGCAGATGGTGATGGCCACCTCGGCAGCTCTGAACTGGCTCGGGTGAGTACGGCATCCGGTGAAAATAAAATTAAAGAGGAATCCAGTTTCCAGTTAGTACGTGAATAATGAGAACTGGGAGCTGCCCGGGAGGACAGTCGTTTGTAACTGTCTCTGTACTGGACACCTAGGAGGCCTCTCTCCTGCAAGAGACCCTTCTCCAGGCAGCGGGGAGCTTGTGTTCAAGGCCTCTGAGAATCTCTCACAAACCAAACAGTGCTGGTGTCTTCTCCCACCAGCCACCTTCAGCCGATAGTTACAAACAAGCTTGGAGGCGCTCGCAGCCAGCTGGTGAGACACACTTCAGAGGGGCTGGTCTCTGATGTCGTCATTGGGAAATAAATCTCTTCTTCCTTGAGTCTTTCACTTTCCTCAGGGGGAAGGTGAAAGAGAAGTAGGCTCGGTTTCACCGAACACACTGGGCTGTGACCTGAGTGTCCCCAGTCCTCTCCCCAGGGTCTCGCTGCTCTTCAGTACCCAGATGTCAGCAACCACACCTCAGCCTGCTTGCTTACAGGACGCCCTGCCCCCCCCAACACTGCTCTTCCTTTCAGAGAACACTGGGATGGCCCCTGTGGTTCGCCTCCCTCCCCAAACCCGCGCATGTGCCGGCTGCCCAGCCGGAGGTGCGGGGCAGTCAGCGTCCATGGCAGACAGGAACAAGGAGGAGCAGGCGGGGCCCAGCCCCAGGAGGACCTTCCGCGCAGCGGCCGGAAGGCGGGCGGGGCGGGCCAGAGGGCCTTTCCTTCTGCTCCTGCTCTCGGGTTCCTGAGGGCCTGAGCCCTTGAGCCATGTCAGGCAGGTGCACAGATATGCAAGGCAAGGCCAGCCTCCCCGGGCGGGGTGGTGGGCGAGGGCAGCTCGTTTGCAGAGGCCACAGAGTGCCCACCCAGAGGACACACCGATGAGTCCCACCTTTGATGCCACTGTACAGAAGCCCTTCTCCAGATGCAGTGACCCTGTCAACGCTGCGGCAGGTCACCTGAAGGACTGGCTGGGCATGCTCTAACACTCACCGAGCGTCCCTGTGTGCCAGGCCCTTTCCCTGCGATGTCACAAACAGAAGAGGCCTTACTGTGCAGTGTAGTAGCTGAGAACACAGCCTTCACGGTCACTGCCGACATCCCTGTCCTGCCTCCAGTGTTTCCTAGCTAGTGGGTCTTGGGAGACACCTCACCTCTCTGTGCCTACGTTTCTTTTTAAAAAAATATATTTTTATTGATTTTAGAGTGAGAGGAAGGGAGAGGGGGAGAGAGAAAGAGAAACATTGATGTGAGAGAGAAACATCGATCTGTTGCCTCCCATACACACCCAACCAGGGACGGAACCCACAACGTGGGCATGTGCCCTGACTGGGTATTGAACCGGTGACCTTTCAGAGCACAGGATGATGCTCAACCATCTGAGCCACACCGGCCAGAACTGCGCCTCCGGTTCTTGCGAGTGAGCCTCACAGGGCCGTCAGGAGGGTTAAACAACTAAGACGTGCTGAGCACAGTGCTTGGCACAGGGCATGTTCTCAGTAGGTGAGGTGGTCAGTGTTGATGTCCTCGTCATCGTCTTGTTTACTACACTTCCGCCTCAACCCTTTTGGCCGTCCTCTGCTAGGTGGTAGGCACCCCTGTTACCTCCACTTCACAGATATTTTTAGATGAAAAATAACAAGGCTCCAAGAATCAAGCAGCTCGCCTGAGCGTGTTCACTGCCTGGGACATGCTGGCGCTAAGATGAACCCGTTGGGCTGGTGTGCGCCCTGCTCTCCTCCCAGCACGGGGTCTCCTGGGGGAGAACGGCTCCCACCAAGAAGTTCCACCTGGTCCTCTCAAGCTCTGGGGGGCTAGCAAGTGCCCACAAAACCTGAGTATGGAACAGTCACCCAGCAGCCCCGCCATGCAGAGCCCCCCTCACAACCCTCTGCTCCAGCCCGTCCAGAGCCTGCTTCCAGGGGGGGCATGGGAACCACAGCTCCAAAGGCACTTGCAGGCCCCACTCTGCTCACCCCTCCTGGGTAGCACACACAAGTGCATGCAGGGCCTGCCTCCCAGGCACACGCCACCTCAGCCATGCCCGCCAACACGCCACCACCTCCATCGGCAAAAGGCCCCCAGCTATGACTAAGACCCCATGGGGCAGGGGCAGCTACCCACAGAGGACCCAAGCTGCTCCGGGAAAAGCCCGGGTCCTGTTAGTTATGGTTCACTGCAGGAGAACCATCTGGTGACTCCCCGGGCTACAGGCCGTGCAGGCAGCGCCCGGGGCAGGCACCTGCCTTGCCCTGGACAGAGGCAGCTGTGGGCTCTTGGCCCCTGAACCCACACTGGCTCCCAAGTGGCCAAGTCAACAAAACCTTCCTGGTCATGTTGCTCTAACCTGGCAGAGACGTGCCCCGAGGCACCTGAAGCCATTAAGAAGCATGGTAATTGGACTATGATTTCCTCTTTAAAATTTAATGCATTTAAAGTCCATTTCATAAAGCTGCCAAGCAGAGCCCGGCTGGAGGGGGCCTCGCCTTGACACGGAATCAAAGGTGTCGTGGACACACGTGTCGGTCCTATGAAAAGTTAATCAATTTCTAATGCAGAAATAGACAAAAGGACATTTCCATCTCTGAAAGATTGATTTCGGGTGTTATGGTTGATCTCCCTTTTATTGACCACTCTTACTTGCTGGGTGAAGGGTCATTTTTTTAACATTATCACATTAAATTGCCTTTAATACAGCAGACGAAGCTGAGACTGTTAAATAAAGAGAAAATGCCCCTGTTCCCCCTTTCCCCCCCAAAATAAAATAAAATCATTTCCTTCTTCTGAGATTTCCTTCTGAGCATTTTTTTTCTGTAAGACACGCCAGCCTCTGGCTCCAGCCAACCGAGGGTGCCTGGAATTTCTACCTTCGGTCATCTTTGCATGTGGCTGGTCACGCCGGGGAGGCCTCTGTGCCTCTGTGCCCCGCAACCTCGGCCACACCCAGAGAGGGCTTGGTGGAGGCCCACGCATGGCCCCCCCAGAGTCAGCAGAGTGGCAGCTCCCCCTCTGGGGCTGTGCTGTCTGTGACCAGGGGCACAGCCCTGAGGCTGGTAAGGGGAGGGCAGTGTGAACAGAGCGGGGACCTTGCAGCTGCACACAGCTGGGAGCCAGGGGACCTCTGTTCAGCCACTATTGTTTGCTGGATTTATTTGACCAGACCCCTTCTTGGCTCTGTTTCCCCATCAATAGCATGACGGGGTGAATCAGGTGGCCTCAAGAATCCTTCCGACCTCCAACTGTCCGGGGTCTGTCTGCACAGATGGGGAGGAGACACATCTGAACGCTACTTCCGACTCTGCCCCAACCACTGTGACCTTAGAAAAGTCCCCTCCCCCGTCTGAGCCTCAGTGTTATCATCTATAAAGGGGGAGGGTCAGACAATACAAAACCAAAGAGCTTCAGATGCTCCCCATGCCCACTAAGCTGTCGCTGGAGTCCTTGCCCCGACTCGGCCTGAGCCAGGTCCCAGCAAAGCCCACAGCTCCGAGCTCACTGCTGGCCCGGGCCTTGTTCCCCTCCTCACCCACAGCACGTGCTGAAGGAGCAGGACCTGCAGGAGAGCTTCCTGGGATGCTCACCAAGCGACCTCCTTCGATTTGATGATTACAACAGTGACGGCTGGCTGACCCTCCGGGAGTTCTACACGGCCTTCCGTAAGTCGGGCCCCAGCCGGGCGGGGGGCAAACTGGCTCTGTCCGCAGGCATTCCTGCACCGGAATGCACGGGCCTAGAGTCTGTCCTCGGGTCTCCAAGGTTGGTTTCTTTTATAGATGAAAGCAGTTGGATTTGTTTTGCAACAACCCTGAGCTTGAAAGGGGTGAAGGAGAGTGGTTTGGGAGAGGGAGCGCTCGGTCTGTTCCTTTGGGATAAAGGATCTTCTTGCAGTCATTTGAGGAACACAGGATTGTGATTGACGTGTCTGGGAATGCACCTCGGGACACTTTGGGGGAGTCTGGGCCTGTATGCGGAGGAAGCAGACTTTAGGGCTATCCCCAGGCTGTGTCCTGGGCCCCCCGGGATGAAGGTTCTACAGGAGGATTCTAGAGGCTGAGCCAGGCAGGAGAGGGAGCTTCAGCAGAGAGGTAAAAGTCGTGCTGGGGTTGATGTTGGCCCCAAAGAAACGAAGCACCTTTATGTCAGACAGTATTCAGGCTCTGCTTAAGGCAGGTGGTATGTGTACCCTGTGTGATGTGTCCTTGAACTTGACCTTCAGGCCCAGGAATTTGAGAAGCAGGTGTGAGACACCCCCTCCCCACAGGGTGCATTAAGCCTCTGAGCCACAACCCTGGCATTCTGCCCCACCCCCACCTCCCTGGAGTGCCACTTTTCAGAAAGGCGTAGGTGCTCCCTATTGACATCTTGTGAGGTTGTTATTCCAAACATTACAAGGCTAGTCCTTCGCAAGAAGGGCTCTGTGACAAATAGAAAAGGTACTTATATGGCATAAGAGGAGAGAAACAAGTGTGATTTTTTTTTCCCTGGGAGAAATGTCCATGAGCTCCACACATGGATGCCTTTTCAGTCCACAGCATCCCTGTTGCCAAGGACCAAAGCCCAAGCCCTAAGTACAGGGCTCTGCTTGTTACGCAGTAACTAGGGATGCTTCCCAGTATCCTCCCCTGCCCATGATTAACAGTCATATCTGTTCATGGTAGTTCAGAATAAGGTGTAAGTGACTGATAGGCTTAGCCTGCTGTGGGAGGTGTTGCCTTTGTGGATCTAGGAGTTATTGCCTGAAATAAATCTCTAAATTTTAGAATGAATGGAAGTATCAGCAACTCCATAGCCCTAGTTCTTGAGAGCCCATTGTTAGATTTCCAGGAATTTTCAAGGCAAACAAACAGTTGGTAGCTTTTAATTGTCCATGGTGGGAGTACTCACACCACGGAAATTTACACCATACAAATAATGCAAAAAGGAAAAGGGGGCGTCTGTTTCCTCTGGAGAACCAGTGGTTTCCTCTGGAGAGCCACTGACCTACACATCACTCCCGCCCCGAGTCCACCTGTCCATCCACCTTCCCCAAACCCAGACCTCCTCATGAGTTTAATCTCCGTTGAATCTGGACAAGAAGAGAGTAGGGTGGTCAGGGCAGATACCAGGCGCTTAGCCCTCCACAACAGGAAAGCAGCATCAAGTGTTCTGGGGATATTTGAGCCGTCCCCAGCAGGCCCCTTGGCAAAAGGAACTGTGAAGGAAAAGGTTGGTGCATTTTAAGGGCCAGGGGCCAAGGCTGGACTTCAAGGTTTGGGGGATACACCAGGCATCACCACTCAGCGGTCCCACAATGGCAGCATTAAGCACTGAATGGCACCGCTCAGGCACTGTCCCGGGACCCAGTACCACAGAGCGTCTGCTCAGCGAGCTCTGTTCCTGGGAATCAGTCTGGGGCCAAACAGGAAGCTGCTGGTGCTCCTCTCAAGGAAATAGAAGCACCCCTGCTGCCCCGATGAAGGAAACGGCTCCCTGCCCGCCCCCCCAACGGAGATCCTGGTAAACATGAGCTGCCCATGGAACAGGAGGGCAGCCATCACTCCACCTGCGCCAGGTCTCGTGCAGATCAATGCAGCGTCTGTTTCCTTTGTTCCTGGGTGGTTATTTGAAAAGCATGATGATCATCATTTTTAAAGCAAATTAGATTCTGCTGTCGCCTTGCACTTGTTTTGAACCAGGCAGCCAAACCATCCATCACAGCCCAACCCAAATAATAGATATGCCATAAAATGTAAACTCGCAGACATTAAGGAAGCCACAGAATGAGCTAACCCACTGTAAAGGCCTGACAGGCGGCTGCTCGGCGCACGCGGGATCGATGGTTTTCAAAGTCATGGGAACGCTAAACTAAACTCCCGGAGCTCGGGGAATGGATTTACGGTTCAGTGAATGTTAAATAGGTAATTGAAGTGAGACATATAGGTACAACTTATTACCCAGAAATCAATGGGCATTAAAGAAATCTCACTACAACTCAAGGTAATAGCTCAAACATGTCAGCAACAACATTTTGGATTTAATTTTCAAAACTGGATCTGATGGGTTGGCAAAGGTTGAGATTTTAAAATTCTATTTTCTAGTCTCTATTTTGTCAGAGTCCGTGGGTACCAGGCAGGGTGAGTCCTGGCGCCAACCCAGTCACTCTATTAGAGGATGGATTTGGGTCATTTCCCTGGAGAAGTGGGTTGTATTTACAAGTTGGGAGGCTGGGGCCTCCTAAGCCACATCTTCTTGTGCCGCTGGCACAGCCATTCATGAGAAGATGAGTTTGCCATTGTCTGCAGCTGGCTGAGGGCGATGTCAGGAATCCCGGACGGGCGGCTGCCCGTGCTCAGCTGAGCTGCTTCATGGTGGGGCTGTGCCGTCCTCTGCAGAATGGGGGACTCCTGCCCAGGGAGAAGAGCAGAGGACGGTCCCTTAATCGTAGAAGTCCGTTCATCCCTCTAACTGTGGGATGGAGCTAAGGCTCCCAGTCACTCATCTGCGTACAGTGACGTGAGTGAAAGAGGAGGGCGGTCCTCTTCTCGTCCTCCATTTACCACCTGAACGTTCTGTCCGAGTTGCTTTGGGCTTTCCAAAGCACCGGCTGCCCTGGGACCAAGGGCACAGTGTGCTCTCGCACGTCCTCCGCCCTCCCTCCGGCCCCACCCAGCAAGCTGCGGAGCCCACCTCTGGCCCCGCTGCAAGGCCGAGGCCCAGCGAGTCGTGAGCGAGAGGTGTGCCAGCCCTGTCTGTGCGGCCCAACAAACTATCTAAAAGGTGTTCGTTTAAAAAGCTTTTCAATAATGCATGTCTTTGCATTTTTTTGAATGCTTGGGATGGGATCTTGGGAAAATCATGTTGCTTAAATGAGAATTTTTTTTCTCACTTCACTTTCATTACAAGTTTCTTCTGCTTTTGAGAAAGATACTTGTTCTTTTAATGAATCCTGTGAGAACCATGTGTTGGATGCAGAGGGTTTGAGCAGCTCGTGTTGCGGGGAGGGGGCCTCACGCGTGTGAATGGTCTGGGATGACAAACGCAGTGTCCAGAGGGGACCTGTGCCCGGGGCACCGCGGGGAGCCGGCTGTGTGGGCTGGGCACCCTCCCTCAGCCCCAGGCAAGCAGGAGGAAAACAGGAATTTCATCAATTACTGTAATACCTCAGTTTCCAGGGCAACTCTGTGAAAGAGATGAAGCAGTCACCTGGTGAATTTACAGCTGTTTTTCTGTGTTGTGGCTGCAAAATGAAAGGATGGTGCCACGTCATTATCCTCAAGGATGACTCATCCCCAGCACAGGCCAAACACCATGCCAGACACATGGTTTCAGTCAGTCCTCACAGCCACCCAGTAATGAGCAAAACAGCAAAACACAACAATGGCAAGCCACTCCCCCCCCCCAGTCCCCCAGCTCCTTGTACATGGAGGGCGAGTTCAGACAGGAAGTTGAAATGGTGAGGATACTGCTTTATCCTCCAGTCCCTGAGTTTAGGATGGTGAGCAACTAGATTTCAGATAGCATGGGATTTATCAAAAATTGTATCTGAATCCACTTGGTTCTTGAGTTTGAGGACAAGTAATACCTGCACACCAGTGTCAGTTGGGCCGAGGCCAGGATGATCAGTGTGATGACTCCCCTAATCCCAAAGGGACAGACCACGGTGGCTCACACAAGACTTGCACATCAAGTGGCAAGTTCACTGCCTTTGTTACCTCCTCTTCTGGAGGGTGTACCACCGTTAGATTGGAGCGGCCAAAGGAGAACTTGAAAATTGGAAGACAGAAGGTGCTGTGAGTCTCGCCAGCCCCTTCTCAGGACAGATGGGGGGCACTTTCTCCTCACCTCAAGCATGGAAAGCAGGGCTCAAGGAGGCTCACGGGGGCTTGCTGAGTCCCCAAGGCAGGCAGTGTGCCGTCTGCATGGGTTTGCTTGTCAATGCCATTCTGTTAGGAATGGGCTCACCTCACATTTATCACGTGTCAGCGCTGAGCATTGTGTCCCTATTTCACAGATGAAGAAACTGAAACTCAGGGAAATTAAGCATCTAACCCAAAGTCACACAGTCAACAGGTAGGAGAAGTGGGATTGAAACCAAATGCCTGATTCAGGAAACTTCTCATGCATTTAAACACACTTTGCAACTCATCAGAATTCTTCAGTAATAAGAATCTCACTGTCCCCACATTTGATTTCCCTAAATAGCAAGTCCCAGCTCAATGGTCTCCTCCTCCAGGAAGTCTTTCTTAATCTGTCTTCCCTCTGCCAAGCCCCACACACCTTCCTCTGTGTGCCCTCGGCCCTGAGTTTATCTCTACCCAGTAACAAGGCTGTGACCTGATGGTTAAGAAAGTGGACTAATGCCCTGGCCAGTTTTTCTCAGTGGTTAGAGCGTCAGCCCATGGTTCAGGGAGACCCAGGTTCGGTTCCCACTAAGGGCATGTACCTAGGTTGCAGTTTGTCCCAGGCCCCGGTTGGGGTCATGTAGGTGACAGCCAGTCAATGTGTCTCTCATATTGATGTTTCTCTCTCTCTCTTCTCCCCTCTCTCCCTCCCACTCTATCTGAAGATAAATGCAAAAATGTCCTCAGGTGAGGATAAAAAATAAAAAGAAAAGAAACTGGACTAAGTCAGACCTTGTTCGAATCCTTGTTCTACCACTAGCTTGTGACCTTGGACA